AGAGATATGTTTTTCAGCATTTTTTAATTGATAACAGTAGTATTTTAGAACTTGATTCTTCATTTATACTCTTGTTTTATGATTTGATCTCTGTTAACTAAAATTATCACTAAATGTAGGTATGGATCAGAGAACGTCACAGGACCTGTGTCCTGTCCTGCATTTTTGGAATTTAGTCCTGCAATTCGCAGGGCAACGCAGGAGCAGGACAACTTTTTTTTATATGAAGGACCTGTACGATGATTTATTAGTCCTGCAGGATAGCATTGAAAGCAAAGAACGGAAATAAATCAGTTGTACACAGATTTTGAGATTCATAGCGATTTCTATAAAGTGATTAGTTATTAATTGTAGAGCGATGAACAGTTATAACATGAAAACTCTAATATAATCAGCACTTCTTAGACGTAATTCCTGCTTTTGTTAATAGTGGCAAGAAAAATACATACTATACCAGCAATTAGTGCATCGGTGGAAAGGTTATTTAGTTCTGCTGGATTAACAGTCACTCAAAGACGAACACGTTTATCACCAAGTCAAATTGATAATATAGTATTTATTCGTTCGTACGGGAAATTCAAAAACAAGAAGTAAAAAAGAAACTTATATTTATCTGTGAATTTTCATTGCATTGCGAACTTTGTATCTTAATGTTTCTTCTGCTATTGATTTGTTGATCTTATGGATCTCAGTATTATTCTCTGTTCATTTCATTTCCGTTGAAAAACTTGTCTTGAGATTTTCTAATAAAATTATATTATATTTTTCTTCGTGTAAACAATACTTTCATCTTTGATGTTGTATCTCATCTTCAGTATCAATAAGATTGTAAATCCTTTGTCATCGTGATTATCTTCTGATTCCTTTTATTCTTACGAATATCCAGTACTTTTTGTTCATTTCATTTCATGTCTGCCAGAAAGCATGTGATTAGATTAATTAACAGGATCATTATAAATGACTTCTATAAAAAGAGTACTTGTAGGATGCTTGACATCATATCTCATATTTAGATAATATTTTACCGTCTTGAAGCCTGTAGGACGACTTTTTGTCCTGCAAGTGTGTTCTGCCAGGACAAAGGTTTTTATGTCCTGGAATCCGTCCTGAAAAGCAGGACAATCTTTCATAATGTCCTGCAAAAATGCAGGGCACGGCGAAAAAAACCGTCTTGTGACGTTCTTTGATGTGGATGAAAGGAAAAGTTAATACTCAAACTAACCCAGAGAATACTGAAGCTCTTGATAAATACTCATGTGTCGTATGGTATGCAGAAGCAGTTGCCACTGCATAAAAGTGTGTGAAATCTTTCACCTCTGTTACTATTAAAACTTGAATAAAAATACATCATAGTGTTGTGCGCGCGAACAAATTTTTGATTTCGATTTCTCGTTCAATGAAACTTTTTGAATTCCTTTTTTTTATATTTTACACTTGAAGAAAAGTATCATAGCCATATACTAGCTTCTGAGGATACGATGTTTTGCACAATATGACACAACTTCAAAATACAAAAAGAAAACGTTCGCTTTGAGGTACAGTTGACAAATTAAGAAAAATAGAAGCTGCTGAATAAACATATCTCTATTGATTGAAAAAATTCATTTTACTCGTTAATACATTCGATTATATACGTTGTTGATAGACAACAGAAAATGTCGATTTGTTTATGGAAAAATATAAGCCATGATCGATGCTAAAGTAGTACAAAAAAGTACAAGTAACCAAACACAAAAAACCAACGCGCCACCTAAATAATAGGCAAACGAACGATTCCAAACCTAGAAAACATTTAGATAATGAAAATATTAATTAATCTTTGATATCTCAACCACATAATTTT